GTTATTGTAACAACTGTTACTGGAACTAAAGTAGATATTTACCATTAAAGAAAGGTACTTGTTTTGTTTGCCTGAGTTCTCATTACTAATGGTTTTCATTTAATTGTGTGGCTAATTTCTACCTCACAATAACTGAAGCTAGAAATTACCTATTATTCTTGCTGTTAAATATACTTTTTTTTTTTTGACAATCTTCAATCTTTCATTATCATTTTCCTAGAAAATTGTGTTTCTTTTTCAGTTTTTCCATGAACAGAGAGCTAAATCTCTTCAAGTCCTTGTGGAAATAATTTTTCAAGCTTTTACCCTTTTTAATTTTTTTCATGCCATTTTATAGTAGAGTGTATATTAATTGAATTCCCACTTTTAGATTTATTGAAACCTATGGCTAGAGGGCATCAAAGTACTTAGGGGGCTTCTTTGGAACATCAAGTTTCAAACACAGCTTACTCTGCCTCTGTAGTTAACTTTAATTCACTGTGTTCAGAACCTGGGTCACATCATCTAAATGCATAATCCCTTGTACCAGAGAACTTGATAAAATTGATGTCAACTAAGGGAACATCATAAATTATGCTTTCACAAATTATCAGGGGTGATAGAAAGCAGAGCATTCTTAATTTGAATTAAATGTTTTGTATTTATTATCAGTGAAAGCTTCTTAGCATTGAAATTATAGGAAAATGATTCAGTATAGGAAATGGGCAGTGTTGTTCCAAGGCAGCCCCAGGGGAAGTGGGGTGACCTGGGTATAAGTCTTTACTGCTCCTGTAAGAACTCAGGACAAAACCCAAAGGTGGACATAAAGAAACAAATGAAGGGAAAAAATTGTATTTACAATGGCAGTTAGAAGAGGAAGAACAGAGAGAGAGAAAGTTAATTGAGCAACACATGTTCGTACAATCTATTCTGCTACAAACGGTATCAGGGTACAAGTCAGGGCTACAGAAAGAAGAAGTCCAGAGCTTCCATGTGTTCATCACAGGCCAGGCCTGACTGCTTAACTCCACTCCTAGTTCCAGTAGCTCCCCCATCAGGAAGTGTGGCTCATGCGTACCAGAATTTGTAGTCCATGGCAGCTACATGTAAGTGGAGGTAGGAGAAATAGTATCTCCCTTTAACACTGTCTTTTTTTCCCCTTTTCAAGAAAAATTTAAGTTCATCAAAATAAAATACATATAGCAACCAAAAATGACAAGAATTGATTATATACATTTAAAGGGTATACATCATTTTCTACACTGGTAAGAGCAAATTAAGAAATTGATTAAGACCTAGATCCTGGCAGAAGAATTGGATATTTCCAATTCTTATAAGACTGGAAGTTAAAATACTGGAAGCAGAAGTGGAATCAGCCTCAGTTTCACCAACTCTGATGATGGTGATGATGCTGATAGTGGTGGGAATGGCACTAGCATTAGGTAAACTGTCAGTGTGCACATCAATTAAGGTTCATTTCTCAT